GCATGACAGAAAGATATCTTAAATGTCTTTTCAAAACACAGGAGGAGAGGTAGCTGACTTCTTTTTTTCCCTGATGCTTACATTCCAGATGAATTTATATGACAATTACTGAAGAAATGTGAATAGAATGTTTGAAGTCTGACCCATAGCAAATATTTATGGAGAATGTATAACCCTCTAAAATAAATGTTTGTGATATGCAGTTCTGTGGTTCTTGCTTATAACTGAACTATGATTCTAGTGAATGGTTGGAGAACCATAAAGCTTTTTCTTTGCACACCCCGACCCCCCAGCTTGACTACAAATAGGAGATATCTTATAATTTAATTATAAGGAACTCTGGGAACTGTATAATTGCACTACAATGAAATTTTCACAAGGAAAGCCTCTCCCGGTATGCTGGCTGAAGCCTACCTAAAACCCTCTCTTCCTCTTAATTTCTATGTTTAATTTAACAGATAAAAAAAGGTTCAGATGGGTGAGACAAAGATTCAAACACAGCAATAAGCACATCATACATAAGACACATATCCATGCCCTGTACATGTTGCTTCTTGCTATAATGTGAAACATCCAGAAACTGAGGTCCTCTGATTGACAAAATATCACTCACTGCATTACAAGACATGTAAAGGAAAACTCATAGTTCAGTGGTGTGCTGTTGCACAGGTTTCAAGTGATTGTTGATGCTAGAGCAAAATGTAAAGTCACAGTGGTGATACTAAAGGGGAAAAAAAATCACTGGAGCAGGAAAGTAAATTTCTGAAACAGTGCAAAAGAGCAATCATTAAAACAGTAAGACAAACAGTCTTCCAAGTCACCAAAGCCGTTTAAAATTTAAGGGTAAAGTAGATTGGAAAGATAGAAACCTTCTGTGAGATCAAGAATTAAGCAGCTGTAAGAAGTAGAAATAGACCAAATTTTATGGAGAATACATGATTCCATTAAATCATGACATCAAACCACAACTGAAATAGTTATAAAAGCAGAAACTATAATTACTGAAGCTGCTGTGGATGTCTTGTTATATTTTATTTTATAATTAGAATGCCCTAATAAAATTGCTTTTTACATCCTTATCTGTCTTTTTGCCTGTTGTTTAGTGCAAATAAATTGAGCAACATGAAACATGTGAAGAGGCATTTGGCCCAGAAATAGTTACACTGAAGTTTCAGGTTGATTGGTTTCCCCCATTCTGGAAATCATTATTTGAAGTAAAGAACTTCACTTGTTTTCCTGTAGCTTAGTTTCCAAATTTATTTAGTTGCACAGAGTGCTTGACACATAAAGAATTTAAGTCAGTGTAAAAAACTCAAACAAAACCTTTTTAGCTAATGTCCTCCAGGTCTTCTTGTTTAGAATGCACTATTTTGTATTATCTATTGAAAATCTTAATGAGTTTGAAACCTTGTCTGCACACACATTTAGTCACTTTGCTACCACAGGATGACCTAGATGCCCCGACACCTCCTACATGTGAGGTATGCAGCTGCTATTTCTGTTAATCTTCACAATCTCAATTTTTAAGTGTTCCACATTCAGTCATAAGACAATATTTCACACATACAAAATTAGCAAGATTAGTAAGTACTTATGTTCCAAAAGAATTCCGTGTATTTAAAAATGGGATTGTTTAGGAAGGTTTTTGATTTTGCCATTTGGAAAATACTTGTGAACTAATTGCTTTTTTACAAGTATACTGACTTTTTAAAGTTAGTATAAGACAAAAAATGGATAGTTAATAAGTGTGGTAGATATATTTCATGCTCAGATAAAGAATTTTCTCACTACCATTTTAATTAACTCATTAACTTGGTGAGTATGTGACTTACTAAAGGTAACATGCTTATAAGCTATCATCAAAGGCAACACACATTTATGTCACATAGAAAAAATTGTGCTGAATCACAGGAATGAGTGAAAAATTTCAAATTTGATAGGAATTCCCAAGTGTGGTAAAATCTGTCTTCCATGCATCCAGTCATCAAGGTGTTGTAGTTAAAGGCTGTAATACTATGCAAGTGACCACAATTCATGGGCACATTTAGTGTTTCACATGAGTTTAGACATGACAAATGATACCTTGTTTCCTAATGACGTTCAAGGGATGATTTCAACAGGTTTACATAAAAAAGCTTCCAAAATGCTTAAAATCACTTATATCACTTATATAATTTGGATTATATTGACCAAAATATTTCATTAATCTAAGAAATCTTTCATTATATTTTAGTTGTATTTGGTTCCAGGGTTCCAGGAAACATGGTAGGTCTTGATAAATTTACCTGCCTTTTTTTTTTTTTTTTTTCTTGAATGCTTAAATATATTTTTTGTTAGAAAGACACTAAGTTTCAAGTCTGGATCCTAATCTCATGGAATAAGAATAATGCAAACCACTCACCTATTGTTGTTTTCTTCCTTTTACTCTTTGGTAAAATTAATCAAGAAGCCTCAGATTCTTTTCATTTATTCCAGGAGTTTTTGTAAATGGGCATTTTTTTCTTCCTTTACTTAATTGAAGTCTTACCAAGTAAAATTCTTCCATCACTTCTTCTGTCATTTATTAAGTTCTCCTTTTAACAGTCCTTGTGTATGTACAAGTTTGACTTCAGGGGCACAATCCAGAAATCTTAATATGCAACTTTTTCATAAACAATACAAAGAAGTTGACAGTTCTCAAAGGGGCTTGCGTGAAAAGATAATTAAGTGCTTTAGAGAATGTCAAGAGTCAATAGCTCAGCACTGTCAGCATTCTTGAGTATTACAGGCTATAATTAGATGGCATGGAGGTGTAAGAGATGTTTGGCAGTTTATTTCAGCATGATCTTGAGGGTAAAAGTAAAGAGCTGCCTCAAAATGTGACACTATGAGTGAGGAGAGCAGGAAGATTAAAACCTCACACAGGTTTTTTAGTGACTTAGACAAATTGCTACTTTGTGGAATGTCACTGTTTTCAAAATTTCCATCCATCTATCCAGTCAGTTTTATCTTATGCCCCAAATTTCAATTGCGAGGTCACTGGCATTTTGCTTTTCTAATATTCCAATTCTTGACTTACTAAATTACCTCAGTAGTAAAATTTTCAAAAGCACCTATTTAACTATTGGTATTCAAATTATTCTGTAAGATAAGCTGTTTACCTGATTACTGAATTGTGTACTTCTGTAAATATAATAATTTACTCTCTCTGTTACTTATCCAGTACTAGCCCTACCCCTGTTGTATCAATACAACGCCATCCATCTCAAAATCCCAAGGATTTTAATACTTTTTCAAGATAAAATCTCTTATACCTATTCCTTTTGAAATGTTAGAAGCTCAGGTTTTAAACTGAAAAATAATTCCCACCACAACTTATGATTTTGACTGCAAGCAGGTTTCTGCATTGACTAATGTAATTAAAGGTTAGCCTTGTAATAGTTCATGTAATTACAGTTATGATTATTAAAGTATCAGTCGTCCACTTTTCCATTAGCATTCTGCTTGGTAGTTAGCAGTAAGCAGAAATAAAATATTAGAATTTTCAAAGCAAGAGATTACCACTTAATGAAATTCTCCGATGGTGCAGAATGGTTATTAATTATTATCATGATGCCTGCTCAGCTGGTGCTATGAAAAAAATCTAGGAGCCGTAAGCTGGGGTGAGATAAGAAAGGGTTTAATTATGCCAAGGCAAAGAGATGTTACACAACGGGCGCGCTGGGCTGTGCCCGGGATGTTACATTTATAACAATATCTGGCCAATCCCAAGTGTGTCCACCCTATAACTTTTGGCCTGGTCCACCCCCTGGCCTGCCTCCTGGAATTGGGTCGGGGGGCTTTTTGGGACCCCCTCTTCATCATTCTTCCTCATCTTCGGGGTACAGAGAGCAGAGTCACCCAGTTCTTTGACTCTGTCCTGCGGTTTAGGCCAAGATACAAGCGTTCTCCAAACAAGACAGGCTTGCCTTGACTAAGAGACAAAACATCTTCTACTGGATATGGGAATAGGGTTGATATGGGGGGTATGGAATGGGGTGAGAGGATTAAGGAATGTATAAACTAAGGGGTGCTACAGGGAGGAGGGAGAAAGGGGTTTGTTTCTAAAATCTACTTCTATTACCTATAAAACTTATAAGGTAGAAAAATAAAAAAATTATTATGAGCTTAAGGCATCAGTCATCATCGTTATTCATACAGCAAAATGGCTTTGGGGTACCTGTGTGCTTCCTTCCTGCACTGTTCTCCAACATTAGCCTTATCTGATCTCAGATGCTGAAACAGTGCTTGTATTAACTAAAGAGCTGACTGCACGCTAAATGAAAATTAATACTGCAAGGAAGTCACAGTATGACATGTAGGGTTTTTTCCTCTTTTCCTTTTTCTAGACATTTCACAGAAAAGGTTGTCAAACATTGGAACAGGCTGCCCAGGGAAGTGATGGAGTCACCATCCCCAGACGCGCTCAAAAAACGTGGATATGGCACTTCACAAAGGTTAGTGGTAAACATGGTGGTGCTAAGTCAACAGTTTGACTGGTTGAGCCTAGCAGTCTTTTACAACTCTAATGATTTTTTGATTTGCAAACTATTTAAAATGACTCACTGGAGTCCTTTCTGAGCATCTTTTGGTCATATACCTCCCCTAGCTCTAGAATTATATTGCTTATAAATAATCAAGAAAAGATGAAAGCTTTGTTAAAAAAAATAAAAAAAAAAGGTTTTGCTGCTAAGCCACAGGAATTTTCTGAAACTAGTCAGAATGAAACAATCACATTTTTCCACTCCTAAAAGACGAACTATTAAAGCATTTGATGTATTGAGAGGATACTCACAGGAAGTTAACATGATGGCTTCAGTTTGATTTCCTGACTCACTGGAAATTTTCTGCTGTTGTTATGCTGCTCCCCCCCAAGTGGACCTCAAAGAGCACAGAACCTGCTAATTAGACTTGAAGTTTACCTGCTGTTTAAGGCTGGTGGCACTTGATGTCTGAGCACACCAGAAAACGTGTGCTAGGCCTTCAGAGTTATGTGACTGGGTGCTATTTGGTAGGTCATCCTTTTGCTCATTCAAGCTAGGCTTTCTTACATGTGTCACCATGAGAGTTTCCCCAGACCTCACTATTGGCCGTAATTCCTTATCTATTCAATAACAAGCAATAGTGTAGAGATGTGGGAGAATACAGAGATTATAAGTCCTGGAAAGAATGCCTATAGGAGCGGGTCCATCATGGCGACAGCTCTCTGGGATCGAGCGGAGTGGAAAGACACCGATTACTTGCATTTTTATTGTACGGTTCTCCCCTGAATTCTGTAATTCCCTTTACCCACACGATCTCCCTATACAGCACCATGTTCTCTCGCCTCCCCAAGCCAGTCCCCACCCCTGCACAAGCATTATTGGTTGTCTCATTCGTCTCTCCCCAGTCCCTGGTTTGTTATTGGACTTTGGTCCTCCTACATCCCCCACTGGCTAGCAGAGTCCTCAAGCCACTCCCTTTCCCCCAAACCCTTGCCCAATCACGTTCCCCTTTCTAAACCCTCCACTGGAGACTTTAAAAGCCCACGGGATTTCGAATAAACTACTTTTCACCACTGGAATCCAGAGAAGAAACCTCGTGGTTCTTTCCTCCTGGCAAAGGGGGACCGCGCCACAGAAACCCTCTCTGAGAAGCAGCGAGCGAGGAGTCAACTAGCAATCAACTGTTATTCTCCAGTTTTTGTTAGAAAGATTTGACCTTTATTGATCCTTGAAAATTGGGAGTTCAGGTGGTTGGAAGAGGATTTAGTGCTGTGAAAGCCTGGCATGAAGTAAGAGCTGTGAAAGGATGAGATTTTTAACTGCTTTCTTAGAAGCCCTATCTGTTGGCTACTTGAGCCAGTCAAGTAGTTAAAATCTGTGCTGTTTGTTGAGAATTCCCATTCTGTGACACTCCTCTACCCTTATCCTCATCTTTTATGTTTCTGCATACCAAAGTTGGTAGTGAAAGTATCCTGAAAATTATCATCTGATAGGGGATTTTTTGTTAAAATTATTTTTTAATGCAAATAAAAATTATGTGTCCCTTTGTTGAATTGTTTGAGCATTTCTGTAAAGTACTGGAAGGAGAAGAACAACTAGGTATACTTCAGTGAGACTTGTAAAAAGATTTGAGAGAGGTCTTACCAGTGGGCTGTTATAGAAGTTAAATAGCGACAATGTGAAAGAAGATATGATGACATATCTTTGTCTGGTAAATGCCAGACAAAAGAAAACGAGCAAAGACAGAGATTGACCATAGGTGTTGATAGCAACCCACATTAGGATTCTCTATTGAGGTCCTATATAATTTTAAAGCACATATACAGACAAAACAATGTGATTAATGAAATAGCTCTGTATCAAGTAATAATAATTGCTTAGATGTTTCTAAATGCTGTGAGAAACTCCAGAGCCATCTGTGCTATGCAAACTCAGCCATTAGGAAGGGATAATCCAAGGAAAAACTTCTGTTGCTATCCAGCTTTTGTCCTTAAAACCTTTCAAATCCCATAAAGGGAATGATACAGATAGTATGTTATCACTGCAAAGAAAATAGCAGTAGGACTCTCAACTGAAATTTTCAATTTTCTAGCAATATGAGTCTCCCTATCTTGAAAAGTATATTGCAGAAGTTGAAAATGTTCAGTGAAAGATGAAGGAAATTATTATGAAGAGAAGTCTGTTAAGGGAGTTGAAAAACACTTTAGAGAGATTCAAAAAGGATTTTTTTTAATCTTATAAAGGAAATGAAGAAGAAGAAACATGATAAAAATTGAAAAAATAGTAAATGTTAGGGAAGAAATAGCAAAGGACATTCTGTTTGCCATTTGTAAAGCTTGAGAACTAAAGAACACCCAGGAAAGCAAAAAATGCCAGTTAAAAATATCAAGGCATATTTGTGAATGCAGTGGCCCACACAACATCCTTCTGGCCAATAATTTTGTATAATTCTAAGAAGGGTTTGAAATTTCATAGAATTATAGAATTGATAAGATTGAAAGGACTTTAAAGATCCTTAAAGATTGTCTAGTTCCAGCCCCTGCGCTATGGGCAGGGATGCCACCCAGGTTGCTCAACCAGGTTGCTCAGTGACCCATCCAACTTGGCCTTGAAGACTTCCAAGGATGGGAAGTCCACAACATATCTGTGCGATAAGTTACAGGACAATAGAAATGCTCAGAATTCCAAATATCACTGCAGCCAAACATTTTGGGAGGTATACCTAACTAAAGAGATTAGGATAGATATTGTAATAATATGAATTATTACATGTCTGCCAAAAATGAACTATTCTCCTTTTCTAAAACTTTCAGAACTGGGCAATCTTGAAAGCATAACATATTTCAGCACACTCTATATCCTGTTGATATCAATGGCATAATCTTTTACATTCCACATTTTTAATTTTACATCCATACAATTTGTCATAAGTTTGTGTATATGTTAAATACTCAGCTAAGAAAATTAATTGTACGTGCCTTACTTTTGTGATTTTTGTGTCAGTAGAAACTCATAGAACTAAATCCCTGTTGCAACGCTTAAATCTCTTTGTAGGACTAAGCTCAAAATTATTTTGAAATTAGGATTTAGGATCCAAAGTTATCTAGATCCTGGGAAAATTATGTTGATTTAATACCTAGAATAATAATTATAATAATGAGGTTAGCGAAGGCATACAGTGCTTTTGGAAAACTCCATAAACGAGTTTGGCGTAATAAACACTTGAAGAAAAGCACCAAGATCAGTGTTTACAGAGCCATAGTGCTGTCTACTCTTTTATATGGTTCCGAATCATGGGTCATCTACCGCCACCACCTGCGTCTCCTAGAACGCTTCCATCAACGCTGCCTCCGTACAATCCTTAACATCCATTGGTCAGACTATGTGACCAATACATCTGTTCTCGAACAGGCAGCAATTACGAGTATTGAGGCCATGCTCCTGAGAACGCAACTGCGTTGGGCAGGGCACATCTCTAGGATGAAGGACCACCGCCTCCCTAAGATCCTGCTCTATGGTGAACTTGCCACTGGCTGCCGCAAGAGAGGAGCTCCAAAGAAAAGATACAAGGACTCCCTGAAGCAACAACTCAGCCTCGGGCATATTGATCACCATAACTGGTCCACTCTGGCCTCTAATCGGGAGGCCTGGAGACAGACCATTTATAACGCTGCTGATGCTTTTGAGAAGGCACGCAGGATCACTCTTGAGGAGAAAAGACAACGCAGAAAGAATCGAACCTTGCAGAATATACCATCTAAGGAGTCTTTCTGCTGTGTCTTTTGCAACCGGACTTGCCTTTCTCGTATTGGCCTTTTTAGCCACCAACGCGCTTGCATGAAAAATGGGTAGAGCCCTTCCCAAATCTTCGTTCGCGAAGCCTAGCCATGATGAATTATAATAATAATGAAATCAGTACAAAGGCATACAAATAATTTGTTTCCAACATTAGACAGCATGGTTTTACTATAGAATGACACTTGGTAATTCTGAGAATTGCTTGTGGTCAGAAAATAGCTTTATTTTTTTCTTATCAAAAAGTGATAAAATTCTAAGCCAGAACAATTTCTCTAAATAGTTACAGGGTGAGAAAGTATTATATCTTAAGGTTTAGAATGTTTAGTTAACTGGAGGAAAAAACCAGAAATTAAAACAAAACCCCCCAAAGCCTTCTCTGACAGTCATAGAGTAAAGCGCAGAATTTTAAGTAGGATCTCAACATTTATAAATAATGAGAATAGAGATGACATAATTTCTTTTACCTATGTGAGTACAACACAACGAGCAAATCTGACTCATCTGGGAGTTTCATCAGTGTGTTTTAAATTTCACCATAGTTAGAGCAGATGGGGGAAGGATGAAGAGGGAAGGTGAGGAAAATATTTGTAAAATAAGCTTCCAGAAGAGAGGGGTTAAAAGATGTTGAATAGGATTTTACAGTTAAAAAAAAAATAAATGACCCTTTCTAGGAAAATATTTCTTTACACTGTTTTTCAAGTTCCAGAAGTTACAGTTCGTGGAGACTGGTCATATTTTTTCTTTGACAGACATCTTTTCTCATTTGTGGAGAAACTGCTCTCTGCTGCTCATACCATGAGCCTTACTTATAACATGAACCTGTTATGAAGTTCCTCTAAGTTTTTGGGTGTTCATGCAGTTCTCTGAACATGATTCTTTTACCAGCTGCAAGCAATAACCTATATGATAAAATTTTACATTTCTGACCAAATCTTGGCAATCTGATTAAGCCAGTGAAAAGGCATGGAAAACTACAGCAAAAAAAGGAAAAGAATAAAAATTCCTTCATGTAGTTAATAGTTAATTTAATTTTTGTCTCTCCATTAAAGGATGCAATAATCAGAAATTCTGAGCATGCAGTGGTATAAGGTTTTCACCTGTTCTTTGCAAGAGTTCTTCCTTTATTGTGTAGCTAGGATCTGAAGCCTTATCCAAAGTAGGTGACATCACCAACCGGATGATATAAAGAACATATAAGAGCTTTCTCTAGTTCTTCTCAGTTGCTCAGGTGGAATGTAGTACAAAAATGTAACTGGTTGCCTTTTCTTGGGACATTTATATGCAAAAATATCAAAATATCAGTCATCTAAACCTGAGGTATCAGGAAGAGAAAATAATGTCAGCTGGGTTGTATCCTGATAAAATAATATTATCCTGCTAATTTTGCATAATAAACAATATTACTGATAAATAAAAAACAACCTAGTTCCATTTGCTCTCCTGTTACATTCCACCAAGATACTGTGAATCTTGAAAAGAAGTAGTGGTCATTTATATATGTTTACTTTGGAGCAAAATTTTTCAGTGAATTCCATTTCTAGATTAGAGCTATTGGGGTATGCTATCTGTTTAGCAAGATAATCTAAAAAATAAACAAAAAAAGGAAAAAGAAAAAGACACCAAGTCAGGTTATAAATGTCCATTCCTTTATTGCAGGCTTAGGTATGGGACAAAAGTCCTTTTGAATGTTTATGGAATTTATACTATGCTCCAATAATAAAATCAATCAATCAATCAATCAATCAAACAAAAAACCTCCCTAAACCTAAAGATAATACTTTGGCTTTGACCCTAGTGTCTATATTTTTTCTGTCTTTACTGAATATGTGACTAATTAGGACACAGTTCTCACAGACTATATTTTGCAAATTCTGAAGGGATTTTAGGTTATATGATAAATATTCTATCTGTGATGTCTTCAATCTTCTATCCTAGTTTTTTTAAAATTAAGAAATATTCAATGAATATTTCATATCTTAACAAGTAGTTGTTCTACAGTAAAATGAGTGGTTTCAAAATATGCAATTCTTGTGAGTGCATAAGGATTTTCACTGTACTAGATTAGATGCATGTTCACATGTTCCAGGAAACCTGCCCCCCTTTTACAGTCTTGACATGGGGGCAGGATGAAGATTGCTGATGAAGATTGTTATCTGTCAAAAGGGGTATGATTTCATGACTCACCTTGTTTTCCATAATATATAATTTAAAAGCATACTGTCATGGTATTTTTCATAATTAAAAAAGCCCTTTCTATTGTTTATAATTATCCCTTTAGTGCTTGACATTGAAATCTGTTTCCTTACTGATCTATTTTCCCCTCTCTTTGGAAGTACTTGTGGTTGAGTTATTGAAGAGTTATATATGAATGTAAGATAACTTAATTCTTATACTTTTTACTAAGAGTGGGGCAAGAATTTCTTTGTATTGCACCTAGATGATTTTCTTGACAATACCCTGACCGCCCCAGAGCCTTGTTATGTCTGTGGACAACCGAATGTGACAATGTTGTGCTGCCTTGTGCAGTGCCTCAGTGGTCCATGCTATGCAGAAGAACAGGAATGTGATGGAAAATACCTTCTGTTGAAAACCTTATCCAGAGTCAGAGCATTTCTTTCTTTAGAAAAACTCATGTGAGGATATAATATACTCCTTAATCAGCTTATTGTATGACTTTCATCTTCTACTACTAAGACTCTTCCACAGACAGTCACTTCAAAATATGCTATATGCATGCACCTATCATACTATTTGTCTGCATTTTTGAACCTCCCTCAAACTCCAGCAATTCTGATGGAGATGTTTCCTTGTTTGCATTGCATAAAATAGCAGGATAAGTTTTATAATTCAGATGTGAGGCTGAGATATAAGGTCTTTACCTAATAATTTTTTCACTGAGTCACACCAGAGGTTCAGCTAGCCCATTTTCCCATTCATCACTTACACGACATCTAGTTGCCACAGATCAAGAAAAGGAACCACAGAAATACGGATTGGTCCTTCCATTCTTACAACTTTTGTACTTTCTGGAAATCTGCAATTTGTAGACATCTGAAAATTGAGCTGCAAATTGCATCTAGTCTGTGTTTTTTAGTAGACCTTGATAGAGCCTTCTAGGTGGCTGGCTTTGGCCAGTTGCAAGGCACCCACATAGTCACTCTGTCACTACTTATCCCTCCTCAACAGGGTGAAGGAAGAGAAGAAAATAACATCAACTGAGATAAAGACAGGAAGATCACTCACCAGTTACTGTCATAGATGAAACAGCCTCAACTTGGGAAAAAGCATTTTAATTTATTGCCAATTTAAATCAAGCTGCATAATGAGAAACAAAGACAAAATATAAAACATATTTCATACCCTTCTTTCCAGTCTCAACTTCACTCCTTTATTCCTGACTTCTTTATCCCTGACTCCTTTAACTTATGACTCCACAGCCCAAGCAGTAAAAGGTGGGATGGGGAATGGAGGGTTGCAGTCAGTTCGTAATAGTTAATCTCTAGCACTCCTTCCTCCTCCATTGTTCCCTGCTTTGCCATGGAGTCCTTAATGGGCTGCAGGAGAATATCTTCTCCACCACTGTCCCTCTCACAGACTGCATCAGAAGCTCTGCTCCTATGTCTGCATTACTGTTCCTTTATTTTCAGTGCTCTTGTTGTTTTCAGGGCTTTCTCATAATTATTTTTTCCTTCACTCCTCTGCAACTAACGTAATTGTTTCAGTGTGTACCACAATTTAATTATGTTTTGTTTAAAAAAAATACTTCCTTTTATTTTAAATTCACTGGATGCTAATTTTATTTGGCAACACCTATGTTGTATCTATGTGAAATGGTAAATTGCCACACCTATTCACTTTCTTTAAGCTGTTAATGATTTCATGACTAGCTGTCAAATTCTTGGCCATCTCCTTCCTAGACTGAAAAGCCCCTTCACTTCTTTTTTTTACAGAAACCATTCCATACTCCTAACCCCCCTTCACATCCTCTGTCTTGTATAGTTCTTTCATATTTTTTAAGATGGGATATCACAACTTAAACTTTTGTTACAAGGGTTTATGCAGATTTGTTTTAGTTCCTATGTTTGACTAACAGTTGTTAGCATTCTGGTTTTACTTTTGTTTCTGAGACAGTTGTCCGTGATAACTCTAAAATCCATTTTACTTCTGGTAAGATTTAAATTAGAGCACATATTTCCTCTTTGTTCCCTATTTTTGATGTAGCACCACTTCATTTAGGCTGGTTTTCCCTGTCACTTTCTATTACGAAATTCTTATGCAAACCTTAGTAATTTTAGATTTCATCCCATCAGCTGCTGTAATAATTATCAATTCTTTTTCAAATTGCTATTTCCTGGTCATTCATGAATGCAGGTCCTAGGAAACATCTTGACAAAGGACTTTCCTGGTAGTCCTCCTCTATTCTGAATGTTGACTCTCTATTACTCTTCTTATTATCATTTAACCAGTTATATATTCTTTGGAGGACCATCACCTCCAAAAGCTTGGCTTTTTAACAGCTTTTAGAGGAGGACTTGCCAGGAGTTTTCTGGAACTGAAACATAATATGTGAACTGGATATCCTTTCCACTTTTGCAAGAGCTCAGGGAGTGCTTGAATTGTCTCTGCCTATTCTTACAAGAAAGAGATTTAAGACCAGAAGAAAGCTCACTGTCCAGACATAGATTAATGTAACAGGCTTCCAGGTGCATTTTGCTTCTGGTTCCCAAAGTTCTGGTTTCAAATAAGGTGATCCAAAGAGATGGTTCTACTGCTTTAAGGCTGCCTGAAGCTTTTTCCAAAGCTACTATTTTACCATCTTCCTAATATTGTCTTCCAGAGTACCTACAGCAAATACATCTCTCTGCAACATTGTCTAAGTTTGATTTGGCTCCCTGCCAAGTCCCCAAGACCCAGCATAAAAACCTCCAGCAAAGAGCAATAGAGGAAAAAACCTATGAAAAGATCCAGACTAGCCAAACTATATTAAAATATATGTATTTACATATATTACAGTCATATACAGTTGAAACACTATATACAATCCCAAAAGGGAAAGAGAAAAGGAAGGGGAAAAAAAGAAAAAAAACACACCCAAAAACAAAACATATATACGCAATCAAAAACAAACAAACAAACAAACAAACCTCAGGATCTAGCAAACTAAAGAATTAGCAAAAGAATATCTTATTACTTTCCTTGGCATAGCACAATTGCCCAAATGCTGCTGCCACACTACCAGACCCCGGATCAGCAGGAACAACAGGCCCCATAGGCCCGGCCAGGCCTCAACTCCCCCCACAGGAGCCAGATCGGCCTTGCGAGACAGTCTGCTGTCTCCAAACCTCGCCGGAAGGGAAGAGAGGAAGAGGTTTCTCTCTCCGTCTATTTGTATGCTGGGTTACATAAAGGAATAGGATGGACTACTTCCTTCCTTCCTTCCTGGCGACCAAGAAGGAAGGCCTAAACTCAAAACCATTGCAAACATACAAAACATTTAGGAATTTTAAAACCAAAAAGCACTGCTACTGTGTGCAATATGCAGTACCCAAGCAAAGATGAAACTGTGAAGCTTATGATAAGACTTGTGAAATATCCACTGGGTTACATATTGGTACCTTGTTCTGGCAATACTGCAATTGTGATTTTTTTTCCTTTGTTTGCACAAACCCAAACTGAACAAAAACATCATTGTACAGTTTTCCCTGCTTTGATAACAGATGACAGTTTCAAGAAAACGGACTCTTCAGATGGAAATACCATTTTGCCAGGATCACTAATCCACTTGGATGATAGTGACAGAAACAGGTTGCAATATGTACTGTAGTTTATAACATGGTTTGTATGTCTTACAAACCATCTCGTTCCTTTAAGACATCTCTCCAGATTAAGGGTTTCACTCAAGAGAAAGGAATCTATGGCCTCCTCTTCATCCAGGACCTTTAGAAAAGCAGTCTGCTCCTGTTATGGACTAGGCTTTCTCTGGTAGCTGATGTGAAGGTAAGCAGAATTGTTTGCACTTGATGTTTCTTTTAAGAACCTTCCCCAGACAGCAATATTAGTGTTCAACAGGTATTCACCTTGCACAGGATGCAAGAGTTGATCATAAGGTGGCCCTAAAAATGGAGGTAATTTATTTGAGGGAATGATTCTAAACATATGCACATAGGATGAATTCAATTTCAGAAAAGGAGAACGAGGAGTATGTGAGACTTTCTCAGGAGCAAAACTCTTTGTACGGTGGCTGTACTGGACTAAGCAAAACTTTTCACGATTCCTTGTGAGGCAAGAACTTCCATTGTTAAGCAAATGTGCTAAAACCCAAATTAACTCTTTCTCTAGTCTATGTCAAACTCCCTTCTGCCTGAAAGGAGAAAAAACTCCAACAACATTAAGGTAAATATTTAAGATTGTGCTTCAATGGAACCTGGTGCTTATAGACAAGTTGTAGTCCTGCATGTCCTTTTAAAAATGTGTAGATTTTATTTCAGAAAATTCCTTCTTCTGTAGAAATAACCCAGATGCCTAGAAAAATGCCTAGAAATGTGTATTTTGCACATATCCTGAGCTGCTTCTATCTTGACAGATTGAACAACCCAAGTCAAATCATTACTGAGAAACAGTTATTTCTCTGCATGACTCCTCTCAGGCCTCTGCGTAAGCACTCTCCAGGCATATTGTACTGCCATGGTCAGTAAAGATCCTGGTAATAGGGTCAATGTGCTGGCCATCATGAATCCTATTTTAAGCTATCAACCTGGAATGTCTGGGTGTGAGTCAATTGATTAGATCCAGTGTGGGAGCCATCCAGCTCACAGGAAACTCTGTGGATGCTCAGCACTGCAGCATGAAAGCCGGTTTTTGCCATCTCCCCTCATGTTGTCAAGTTCACCATTCTTAATTTTAGTGACTTAGTCACCAGTTTGACACATAGTAAAGAAGCAGCTGTTCATTTTCTGCTACCTAAACATTTGTCATTGTTTATGCCTTTTAAAACATTCATCTTTTTTGTTCAAGACTCATCTTGACATCATTTTAAATTGTGAAGGGCTAGAGATGTTCATCAAGAAACAGATTAGAAGACATAGTAGACCTGGGTAATTATTTAAGGGCCAAAAAGGGGTTACATGATGCATTTTAACTGAAGCTTTAGTGGATTGCTAAATTAAATGAGTAGTTTAATGATAAACATGTTGGAGTTAATCAGTTGAGTACAACTATAGGGAGACTGTGTAAGTGGGTTTACGAGTTGAGAGACATATCTGCTTAGTCTTTGCTGAATAACAGATTTGACAACTAGCTAATGGTGCACAATATCTAATGTTCTTAGAAGGAGTGCTGGCACCATGAGTAGCCTGAAATTTGTTAGCATAACAAACCAGATATTTGTGATAATGAGAATAATTTTTGAATTAGAAGTATTATTTAAATCTTGTGGAGTTGGTATATAACACACCTTCCAAGTGTTTATTTGATAGTAACACCTAATTATTTGAAAAGTGGAAGCATGTATTTCATAGTGATTAGAAATTTTACTTAATACAACATTTAATCTATCTTTTTTAGAAAATGCAGCAATGTCATTTTTAGTAAAAGTTCATAGTTTGTTCATAAAAAAGCACTGGGCATTTAAAACTGTTGTAATTCTTGTTTGACAAGTCACCAAAGGCCTAGAACATTTTTTAGGTCACTTTCCTATTACTTGACAGTAAAAAAAAAAACCAAACCCCCAAACTGGATTTGAAAATAGTTAGGTCACACTGATTGCAGAGTTTTTACTTTACACATCTAAAAGCAGAAATCCAAAACCGGTCCCAGTTTATACTAAGTAATTTGTGCTTGGCCTTCTCTGCACATGAAAATAATGTTAAGGAAAACATAGTCAAGGACAAAAAATTATTCTGGGGGGAACGATAGTTTTTGGCAGTGCCAGTACTAAGAGCAACTGAAGAGAATAAGATTTCTCAGTCAATATTATTGACTATGTCACAATCAGCACTTCCTTGCTATGCCCCTGACTCATCTCTGGTTGCCACATCACAGGGGTGGTAAGAAGTAATTGAAACTCTTGTTCCACCTTGCCTTTAAGGAGGACATATCTCCTCTAGATTCTACCCATGAACATACAATTCTCAGTTCTGGTTTGTTCTGCTTTGTTGCAGTAGGTTGATGTAGATTTTCTTTCACATGAAAGAAAAAATGAGCAAAACATACATGATTAATATAGCAGCTGTTCAGAATGCAAACCTTGGAATTTAGCTGGAACCCTAAGACCTTTATGGGAAGGTCAAACTCAAAGCAACATTCATATCACAGTCAGTTCCTCTTTTAATTAAGTTCTAATGTATCCAGTATTTTATCCATAGTCTACATTGATATTAAATATAAGTCAAATTGGTCTTTGTTCCTATTCAATATAATACTACTCTCTGGTCTTCATCTAAAGGTGAAGGTACATGATGTGATTCTTAGGGTAGTCCTGTGCAGAGCCAGGAGTTGAATTTCCATGATCCTTGTGGGTCCCTTCCAACTCAGGATATTCTATGATTCTGTGATTCTAAAGATACAGTTGTACGTATCTGTCCCTGGTGTTGTTTCATGGAAACGCACTTCCTGTTGAACTCATATTCATTACAAGAACTAGGATCTCAGGCAAGCTCCACAATACATTGCAAATATGCAAATATACACACACATATATTTACGTACTGGACCTATATTTTTTCTATATAATTGTCAGCGTGTTCTTTTACATTAATGAAATATTATGGGCTCCCTCTGGTGGGCCAAAACAATATCTTTGTATTGTAGAGTCATTGTAGAGTGTTGGGAGCCCATTTAGCCTAAAGGAAAAGAAATACTTGTTCTGTGTATCTAGGGTTGGTAGTTCAAATCTGGATTTCTTAGCTAATTTTGATGTCTTTCCAGTTTGTATTTCTGTCTCAGAAACACTGTATTTTCAATGCTTAATTCTCAAACCTGAAAATAATTTAATTACAAAATATATTAATGAAAAGACTAAATAACCTGAATTAAAGTTGAAGGTTCAGGTTTCATGGATACATGATAACAGTAACCAAGAGGAACAATAGGTCTCCCAACTGAATCACACAGATACTGTTGTGATAGATTACTA